CAACGAAAATCAAAAAAATGTTGAAATTGTTAAAATGCAGGATTGTTAAAATTGTTAAAACTGATAAAATTGTTAAAACTGATAAAATTGTTAAAAATGATAAAATTGTTTAAAATGTTAATATCCGATGCACTGGGGTTCGAACTCACAATTACTGGGATTGCCGTCTGGCGCGTTACCAACCGAGCTAACTCGTTGCGATACACATCACTCACTGCATTGTATGTCATATAAAGTAAACAGCATGGCGGTATCGATCGCCTCAAGCCACCAAGACTTTCAACTATTAACTACGGGGTTTCCTTCTTTATCAGGTTTGCTTTTGAACCACCTTGATGTTACTTAACTATCAACCCGGCTAGCAGAAGCCGCCGGCTCCTTTGATATTACAGCCGCTCCCTGTCCAATCTTGTTTACACGCCGGGCGCAGGTCATTGACCTCCAACTTGCGTTGTTCCAACAGAGAAGAGCAAAATGTCTGGCTCCCGCAGAACGTACCGCACTCTCCCGCAGAACGTATCGCACTCTCCCGGAGGACCGTCCCGCACTCTCCCGAGGGAAGTCCCGCACAGCGTCCTGCACTCTCCCGCAGAACGTCCCTCGAAAATTGATGCGTATTTCGTGGCCTGTGCTGTACCTACCAAAACACTTGAGTTCATACTGTCAAAATGGAATGGCTTTGAACAGGTGTTAATTGAGTTAATCCAATCAAATCCAACAGCCAATCAGCAAGAAGAAAAGATTAGGCTGCGTCAGGTTCATGCTTGCATGCCCATATTTGGGCCCACCCCCGAATTCCTTTCTTATTACGTCACGCGCGTACGCCCCACAGTACTTTCCTATGGGAACAGCTAAAAACGCAAATAAAACGATTGTAAAAGCTTGTATCAAAAAAAATAAAAAAGCGCCTAGGGGTATTTACCCACTCTACCTTTATACGAAATTCCAGGTCGTTTGGCCCAAAAATGAAGGAATTGAATCAATTTAAAGAAATGGCAGGAGGAGAAGAAGAAGAAGAAGGAGGAGAATCATCAGTAAAAACAGTATTTCCCTCCATACTTAAGTATGGAGTGAAATAAATAGTTTTTTACAAGAGGTACACAAGCATGTCTACATAAAAAGTACTAGTGTACGTTAATGCCATACATTGTATGTTTCCAAGGTAACTCTTCAGTCACCTTTCAACTACATTTTGCCATTTCGCGACTTGGGAAACGCGATGGGCTCTTATGGGAGTTTTGCTTCATGAATTTTCCTGCTTTTATTCTTGACCGTGAGGCTGACCTCAACAACCCAAATATCTCTAATTTATCGGGAAAGAACCGTTCAGTCTTAAATGTATTCATTTTGAGACAATCATGCCTAGAACGGCTTGTACGAACGGTTGTATATGGAGTTTTTGGTCAATATTTATGTCATGCCAGCACTGCACGAAATGGCCTCGGATTATAGCAAATCCTGAAGATCCGAAATCGTGCATCATGACGGATACGTAGCAAATCCGGAGAAATCCGCAATCCTTACTAGAATACGAAGTAGCACTGCAGATCCGACAATTCCGGCACCGTATACGTCCGGATCTTTAAGAAATCACAGATACAAATTTGATATTCGCAAGGAACCTTCTTTCTCGGATATGTTATAAGTTCGGTTTTTAGGGGAGTCTGGAGTTGCCTCGGATCCTGACAGATACAATAAATACCCATCATGGCGCCATACATGTACTACCACAGATTTCAGCAAATCCGCCTGCCGGGCATTAAACGGATTCTAAAATAACCCACAGGGCACTGCTGCTTTGGACTCTCCCGCAGATTCCGAACAAAATAACAGAAGCGGGATTTCGCGGATCGCACTTCCGCAGATCTGAACAAGATACCAGAAGCGGGATTTCGCAGATCTCGCTTCCACAAATCCGAAAGTGATTTGCAGCAACGGGATTTTGCGGATCTCAGAATTTCGTACTGCTATGGATTCCTGGTCCCACAGATCCGATAAAGGTACCAAAAGCAGAATTTTACGGATCACGGTTCTGCAGATCCGAAAACGATACCAGAAGTGGGATTTTTGCGGATCTATCTTCCACAGATCCGAAAGAGATACCGGAAGCGGGATTTTACGGATCACGGTTCTGCAGATTCGAAAACGATACCAGAAGCGGGATTTTGCGGATCTATCTTCCACAGATCCGAAAGAGATACCAGAAACGCAGAGAAATTTGTGGATATCAGAATTTCTCACTTGACTGACTCTTACTATGGATTCCAAGTTTCACAGATCCAAAAAAGATACCAGATGCAGATTCGCTTCCACAGATCCCAACAGATCCCACTTGGCATTCATATGACCTCATATGGATTACGAATCCCGCAGATCCGAAAAAGATACCAGAAGAGGAAATTTTCTGATCTCGCTTGCACGAAATCTGGAATTTACCAAACTTATATAGCATGGGTAATACTATCTTTCCGAGTTTAAACAATCTGCATCCCTTATAAATCAGGTACCTAACACGTACATGTAACTTTCTTGAGGAAGGCAATGAAAGGAAGCAAAGTCTAAATGACGCCTCTGATTGGCCAGCTAGCGTACGCATGCGTACCGTGTTGGCGGTTAGAATGAAAACCGTTAGGAAAGTTGGCTTCGATGCAGGGGAAAACTAGAGTGAAATCAGGCGTTTGTATCGCTTTTTTTCGTGATAACAGGATGACATAACCAGTCTACCATGATCGGTCATCGAGTTTGGACAGGATTGATAGTGTTTGGACAGGAGGAGGATGTGATGTCAATTCAAACGCACAGAATAGTGACGTGTGTAGCAAGCTTCGGCGCCCCCTCCCCCTTGCACGGCGGCCCTGCGCACTTGATCCAACACATCGGGCGTTTGGTAAGTTCAGTTATCATACCTATTTGGTTATTGATATGTCGCTGCCAGAAACATTATAAAATGCATGTCTCTAACTAACCTGCCCCCTCCACATTATAGATGAAAGGCTTTTAGGGGCTTGTCTTTGTAGGGTAGCAACTTGTTCATACTTTCTAACGGTCAATAGGCATTGGTGCCGGGCCAATCTCGTCTTGACAAAAATAGGGAGCAGTTTAAAAAAAGTGTTCAGTATTTTTATTGTATTCAGGTATAGTCGATTTGTCAATTCCTTTATTATATGTCTGGTAGAAATTTTTGATCAAGTTATATGTTACTTTTTGTCCATTGAAGATGCCCAGGTTTTCTGACCAATGTAATTTGCAAACAGCAGGGAGTACTACAGGCGGAGCCTCCTCATCTCGAAGACGTTTATATAAAGACATGGGACGTTTTGTCACCTGTGTATTTGTTTACCTTTTTATACCTCCAGGATGTATGTGACAAGGTTTTGCTAGTCTGTCTAATGATGTATTAAATGATCCATGGCTTTTTTGCCAACAGAAACTGGATCATCGCCTTGAAGGTGAAGAAACCATACAGTAAGCGGCTCAAGCTCAAGCTGTCCGGAGTACATGTCACCAGACGAGCCAGTTTATGATGAAAATGGAAATATTTTTTTTACTAAGGCCATTCTTTGGCTGCCCACATCTACAAAATACAAAAGTGAGCTCGACCAAAAATTTGAAACTTCATACTAAAGTGAACAGGTAAAACGGCAGTGAACAAAGAGGGTACCTGGCCCAGTGACCCTTCTTCCACTTCCAAGTCTAAAAATCCCATCTTGTTAGAGTTGAATCAATGGATTTCTAAATGTTAACTTAGGTCCAGTATTATTTCTGGTGAATTTTCTGAGGCCAGTGAAACACGTTTTCCATGATTTGTGTCCGAATATGTACCCCAAGTTCACTCTTTGGGGGTAACTTTTCAGTGGACAGAAATGTTTGTTACAGTTTTTGTTAGTTCACTATGATTTGTGTATGGATATGTACCCCAAGTGTAAAGGCATAGCTAACTATTTTAGGGTAACTTTGGGCAGAATAATGTTTATTACAGTTTTTGTTTGTTTACTATGACCTCAAGTGTAAAGGCATAGCTTACTGTTAGGGGGTAACGTTGGACAGAAATGTTTGTTACAGTTTTTGTAAGTGGTAGCAAAATGGATAACTATGTACCCCAAATGTAAGGACATAGCTGTCCACTTAGGAGTGGTAATTGCACACGATATGTTTCAGGCTATACTGTGTATTGATAATAAACTATTTAGTTGCAGGAGCTCCTATTAAGCCTGTACGTATCCGAATGTATCCTGAATGGGAATATGGTGAAGGTATTAAAGTTCAAATCCTGAGTTACGCATTTGTCAGGGGTCATTTCTGTACGAATCCCGGGCAAATCCGAGCGTATTCTGTGTGGAATATATACTATAAGAATCCCGTTTTTCGGATTTGTACGGAATAGGTTCCGGATAGCAGTAACCGATGTTTCGGATTTTCTGGCGAATTCCATTCTGATCCGTCAGTATCCGCTGGTATCTGTCAGCAATTCCGGAAAATCCCGGTACGCATCTGCCAAGATTCAAATTCTTTTCTGTGCGTATCCTGGCAAAATCCGAACGTATTCCGTGTGGAATATTTACTACAAGGATCCCGTTTTTCGGATTTGTACGGAATAGGTTCCGGATTGCGGTAACCGATGTTTCGGATTTTCTGGCGGATTCCATTCTGATCCGTCAGTATCCGCTTGTATCTGCGAAAAATACGGACAAATCCCGGTACGCATCTGCTTGAATCCGAGGCCATTTCGTGCAGTGCAGTGTTCATGAAAGTTGAAAACAATTATCTCGGAAAAACGTACCCTTTATAACAAAATAAAACTGCTATTCTCACTTGAAATACATTAATTGAAATACATGCACAGAGCTAAAACATTTTGATTGCAAACCAATTCCAAATTTGGCATATAAACTTCCAACGTCTGATGTTGGCTACATATACTAGTACATAGTGCTCGAAATCAGTAACGTGTACATTCATTTTCCCACTAAAATAATCACACAGAAACACAAAAACATATGTCACAAAACTGTAATTGGTTGGAAACTTTATTATTTTCAGTCATTATCATGAGTTGTTGTGTATTTCATGTAAGATGTTTGCATGTTATTGTAGTCTACTGGTGAACTACTGTGCAATTACTGGATATTGTTGCTATTGCGATGTCAAAATTGTGCAGACATTTGGAGTTGCAACTGTGTATATTCCTACTAACTTAAGTTATTTTTTCTGTTGGAAGAACAGTTATAGAGTAATGCTACGTTATTTATATTTCGTTCTATTTCGCTCTTTTACGTTCATTTTTGCTCCTTTGTGTTTCTTTTCAAGCTCTGTTGTGTTTCTTAGATTTGCCATTTTTCGTTCCCATTTTGTTGTTTCCGCTTCTTTTCGGTTTCTCTCGCAATTTCTCCACAATCTGTTCGGAATCTTCATGGGGTGTCTGACTGTCCAAGTCTTGACTGGTCTCACCTGTTTGGACCATTGAGAATGAGCTGATTATTTCTCCGAGGAGATTTTCGGCATTTTCCACCAAGGATGATTCTGGCAGATAAAAAAAAATACTATAAACATGCAGCTTTGGAACATGTAGCATATAACTTGCCATAACAATGTAAGGTGCTGGCATAAATGTAATATCTGTGTTTAGTCCCTGTCACACATTAAAACCTAAGTCCCATGATCACCAACCAACCAAAGTTGGCTGAAGTTAGGGAGCAGTCTGGGCCACGCCTACCTTTGTATACGAAACAACTCGAATTTGAGTTAAATTTGAGTCAAATTTGATTCTTGAACACACCCGTAACACTGAAATGTTTCATCATATATGTGCTGACTGTCTTGCAATGTTATGAAGTAACAAACAGTAGGAAGAATGTTGAAGAGAATCTTTTAAGAACATAAGCAGACACACAACGAAACATACGAACACACACACACACACACACACACACACACACACACATACAAACACACTCAACAAACACACACACACACGAAGACACAAAACACATACAGACCTGTGTTCCGGTAGTCGATACAACCCGCACAGTCACAGTGATCTGCCGTGTTCCCACACCAGTGGCCCGGTGAGCAGCACGGGTAGATACCGTCAGGGTCACACTCAGCGGTCCTCCCGTCTGCTGTAGTGTATGTGTCTCCACAGAGGAGATCGTCGCGCCATTTCTTTGTAACTATTAGAAAAAAGACAACAGTTTTATGACCTCTTACCATTGCCAAATTTTCTAACCCAATCATCACCAGTTGTCTTATGAAGACCTACTCACCTACCAAGTTTTATAACAATCCATCTAAAACTTCTTGAGTTATCGTGCTACACCACATACAATGTAAATTTTGTGTTACATTATTTTAGTGGGAAAATTAATGTACACAATGTCATACACATACACATAGACACACAAACGCTACTGAACACATAACCTTTTGGCGAAGGTAATAAACGTAACATCAAAATCGGATCTTACCGCTACAGAATGGCACATCACACAGCTCCCATCTGGTGTAGGGATCCGTGGTGTAGCACCAAAGTCTATACCAGCCGTCCGGATTCCGGCAGTAGTTCTGCTCCAGTCCTGCTGAAGGATAATTAGCGGGTGTCCTGTCGTGTCCATGAGGTGTCTGACTGTCCCAGCGTTGACATGTCTTGCCTGTTGCGGTCATAGAGACTGACCCTCGGTAGGTTGCCCCATTGCCCTCCTGGCATGATTCTGGCAGATGTAAAAAAAAGAGACGAATATGCATAATTATTGAAAGTTTATTGCAAATCCATGCCCGAGGGCTAATTGCAAGAACATGATAACAATAATAAACAGTAAAGATAATAATAAGTAATGCTAATGCTACTTTAGATATACATTTGTAGTTATTGTTGGGTTTGATTTCTTTTCTGCTTGCAGTGGAGTATGAAATGGCCGACATTTTGTGATATATATATGGATTAGGAGGTGTTAATAGAAACGCAATTTTTAATATTATTAAACTGGAAATAACAACGTAAGGGACAAATGCCTTTGTCAGCGTCCTTAACTCAAACTGTCAAACGAACGGTTGCATTTGAACAATTTCATACCACAAAGTGCTATCTAATATTATACGCACGTGCAAGGTACGTCTTTGATATATCATTTTGGCCCCGGAAACAACTCTGTCTGTGAAACAACTTCCGACTTCTATATTTGTCAGGAATATTTAGTATATATATTATATAATACATAATAGATTTTTTTAAATCATGTTGAAGACTCACCCTCATTGCAGCTGGCTTCCTCTGCAGGACCTAAATAAAATACATTTATATATTTGTTACATAGTTATTTTTTCATCGGACTATGTATCATTATATGCATACATTTAGTTGAAGAAGACCAGAGTGACTGGTCGAAAGCTCTAATGTGTATAGGTGAGAACGATTCTATGAGTTTGAACAGAAGTTTTAACTTTAAACATTGAACACAGATGAACTTTCAAGACAGAATAAGTATCTAATAAGGAAGTATACACATTTCAGATATCCAGCTGTTCATGCGTACCTATTTGGCAAATGAAATGTTTCTCAAGCCAGCAGTGGTCATCGTCCCACTTGTAGTTATAATCTCGCCACAACTGAATGCAGTCTTGTCCAATGGTTATTTCATTGCCTATTCCATTATTTGGTTCACCCGGTGCCCAGTTGCTGAAGGCACAACTGGCCAATCTGGAACCGTCTGCCCACATATATGTGCCTTCAGTCTGAAGATAAAGCAAAAAAAAGCAACAAGAATTAAGAGATTTCATACCTCCACGAAATATGTAGAGTTTATGTAAAATTGTTACTGGGGGGATTTGCCTCATTGTATATGAAAGTAAGGTCGTAATTAACAGTTTAATTTATGGTTTTCTTAACTCAAATTACAATATTTTGCGTGAGGAATTCCTATCTTTTGGAAATATTTCATTTCAACATGTCCTCATTAATTATGCAAATGACCTCTACATTAACATAATATATGCATAGTGATGTTAACCTTTAACCCTAAACAGTACACATGGGGTCCGCGCGGACCCCAGCACTATATATTCTGTAATATCTTTTTTGTTTCTAAAGATTTTTTTCTGAAATTTTAGGTAATTGTCACCCACAAAGTTGTCTCTCAATACAGTGCAGAAAATTTCGTTTCTATCATTTAAAAAAAAATTATATTTGATTTTCTTTTGGGGTCCGCGCGGACCCCAGCCGGCTTTCGATCATAATGGATACACTGGAATTCTTATACATTACCTTATTTCCGTTTTTATATGTTTTTATGCACTCATCGTATGTCTACCAAGTTTTCAGAGAATGGTGTAGTAATAGAATTAAATTTTAATAACTTTGGTGTAATTATGACGTCATATGACGTCAGAGCTAATAATATAGTCCGCCATATTGGATTTTGACCAATTACGTCATCAAGTTAGCATATTCTATGCATATTAAATGATTTAACTTATATTTGATTATGTAAGATGTTATCAATGTTGGAAAAGAAGCGTAATTTAATATAAAACGCAGAATTTTTTTATGTTTAAACCAAAATTACTTCTATTTTCAAAAAACTTCCTGCTAGAAACCCGTTGCCATGGCAACACAAAAAAAATCAACTTACTAGTATTAAACTAATATGAACTTTTTTCCAGAGACATTTTAGGAAAGGTCTCCAAATTTCATAGTTCTAGCGCAAGCCGTTTAGCCGCTATCTGAGATCAAAGTTGGGCCTCAAAAGCCCCTTCAGTCTGAAATGGGTTTAAAAATCGGGTATTTCTTCTTGTCGTCTTTTCTTCACCAAAAAATAGAAAAAGTTACAAATGTATGATTTTTGTATGTAATGCGGACACAGAGGTTCCCACATCAGTTTGCAAAACAATTGAGCTGGTAGCATGTTGATAATTTCTAAAAATTAGCAAAAAACTGTTCTGGGGTCCGCGCGGACCCCAGGTGTACAGATTAATCAGTCCGGGAAGGTGTACTGTTGAGGGTTAAGTAACTTACACATGTCACAAGGTGTAAAATTCCCATCATTAACCATTAATAAATGGCAAAATTTTCACATTAATTATGCAAATTAGGTCATTATTTGATAGTTGATATCTGTTTATGTTTCACCTGCCATACATCACATGTATGAAAGTACTATCATATAAAACACTGTAATTGCAGAATTTCGTACTTAATAATGCAAATTTAACCTTCATTTGCTATTTGAATTTAATTACTCTCTCTATAAGTGACTGCTGTGTGTGGCCCAGGGCTAATAAACGGAGATGGGCGCCGCCCTATGCGTCACTTGACGCGGGAAGGCTCTCTAACTTTTAACTATCTCTATAAGCTACCTATACACCAAAAATTATGAAAATACGTTGTTCCTTTCTTGACATCCGCTTTAAAAGTTTTTTTTTTCAGAAACTAACCTGCCGTTCCAGAACAAGCTGCTAGGGGGACAAAACTTACACCATTTATTCCTGACAGGAAAAACTATCTGTCACCAAAACTGCAAGACCATAGCATGTTCAGGACAAAAGATACAAAAACCGGAAGTTCTGCTGCAGTACCAAGGTCATCCGCCAGGAGGTCGGTATTTGACCTTGACCTTTGTCTTCCTGAGACCTACCAATGTACCAAATATCATTACAATCCATAAAGGTGTTCTGAAAAAAAAACCCAGATACATTTCATTACCTCTGTGTACCTAGATGTTGTTTTTGGTTTTTGTTGTTCAAAATTGCATATTGTATTCTCATGCACATAAAGCTATTCAATAATTGACTGAATAAATGAAAGTTGATTATTGTGTCTTTCGATTACACGCCGCCAGACCAAATGGTCTTATAAGACACCAACAAAAGAAAAACATCATAATACCGAAAGAATGGTACAGAGTCCAACCAAATGAAATCAAAAGTTAACATAAGAGCTAGATATACAGTCATAGATGAGGTAATTGACTGTAATTGTTAAACAAAACAAAACAAACGTTTGTCAGACGTTGCACATAGAATTATTGAACAAGCCGTTTAGACTAATGTTTAAAGTTAGGCCACACCGGTTTAATTTTATGGATGACATCCGCGCGCGCATTGATTTTCGCTTGTTCTCCGAAAAAAAAAAGATCACGTCCACCGAGGCTCTGGCCTGGCTCTAGGCCTGGGTAGTCCATGGTAGTTGCGACGATACGAAGCCGGGCACCAAGGCTGTACACCGAAGCTCCACGACTCAAGAACTCAGTACATGCGTACAGTGCCGGTTCATAAATCCCGCAAAAAGCCATGTGCCGGCTTGTCGTATACGTCTCTAAGTACTGCCGCAAATTCGCAATACGAGCTTTGTATTCTTGTGGTTAAGTAGCATTATTATTTCGGGCCGGATTTTTTTATTCGCCCACGCGAACTAGTTTGGGGGTCTTCAGAGGATGTCATCCATAAAATTAAGTCGGTGTGGCCTTAAGTTAAAACTATTGATCGAACACAAAGAAATTCTCTAACCTAGAGCTTTCAACCAGTCACTCTGTTCTTGGTAATATCTAAGACCAAAGTGACTGGTCGAAAGCTCTAGGTCCCCTTTTTCAAAAAATTGGGTTGATGAAGGCTCTCCTCAACTCCACCGAAATCTGGCCCCCCTCGAGGAACTGGTTAGAATATCCGATGAATTTCAGATCTTTGTGTTGCATCAATGTTTACCTTTAAACATATAATTGCCAACACAGATGAACTTTCATGATAAGCCGTATAGACTGTAATTGTTAAACAAAACAAACGTTTGACAGATGTGGGAGTCCACGACGAGGTTTACACCACATATATGTAACAAATGAGTATGTTTAAAGTTAAAACTTCTTGTCCAACACAAAAAAATTCTCTCACCTAGAGCTTTCGAACAGTCACTCTGGTCTTCCTCAGTAGACTGACCCAGGGAAGCTTGTCACGTGGCTTCTTTGAAGTATGACGTCTACACTGGGTCAAAGGTATATGGTAGACGTCACACTTCAAAGAAGCCACGTGACAAGCTTCACTGGGTCAGTCTACTGAGGAAGACCAGAGTGACTGGTCGAAAGCTCTAGGTGAGAGAATTTTTTGTGTTGGACCAAAAGTTTTAACTTTAACATGTTCTATCAACACAGATTGACTTTCATGATAGTCTAACAAATAAGTAGCTGACTTTTTACTCACAGCTTTGTCGTTCAGCCCGATCCAGTAGCTATTGTCACCAGCATTGCCTGTTGCTGAAATCAGTTCTACGATGAAGTTGTTGAGAGCCTCCGTCTTGACATCAGCCAAACGGCCCCCGTCTGCCTCACATGTCTGCTGTGCACTGGCGTGGTCCGTTTGGTACCGGAAGACTTTGTAGAACGACCCTTCTCGTTCTGTGTAGCCTGGATGATTGTTGCTGACCGATCCTAAAGGACAAAGAATAGCCTTCAGTTTAATTCATACCAAGTCTTCCAGTTTAATTTGGGGCTAATTCCCATACCTCAGCAACCTTACATCTAGACCATTGGGCTAATATCGTAAAGTATTGGTAAATAAAGTGTAAGAAATATATGTAGCGGCCATTGAGGACCCCTTGGGGATTAACCCAATTCTGCAGAATTCTGGGAAAGAATTGGGTTAATCTCTAAGGGTTCAACGATGGCTACTAAGTTGTTCTTACATCATATTTGGTGTTTTTACCAAATTTAACATATTAGCACATCCAAATGTAAGGATGCTGAGATATTATAAGGGAAGTAGTCCGGAATTAAACTAGAAGTCCAGATTTAAACTGGAGGCTGTTAGAGATAGAAAGCAGCGTTATTCATAAGTAGGTGGCAAGTAAGTAGAGGAAGAAAAACTTAACTGTGTTAGGCCACACTGCTTTGGATTAAGGAATACCCTTTTGGACACGTACCCTAAAAGATACTAGTGCGCAACATCCGGCCGGGAAGCATGTATATGGTTGGTTGTGTTCATCAACCAGTTTTAAAGTTGACTAACAACTTGTTTAATGCTGCTCCAGAACGTACTCTTCCACCAGCACGTTTAAAAGCAGGAGCAAGTTTGTCTTGAATGGGCTCAAGCCATACTGCCAGTCACGGAGATTAATTGGTTGACCTACACAATTAGTTACTAGCATGCCAAAGTTTCGACATTTGGTTGTACAATTAGCCTGGTGTCCAGTCTATCACGGTTGGGGCGGGTTTTCTTCGGGGCTGTAGAAGCTCTTCCCCGCCCGACTCAGCTAGGTTCCCCGGTAGTTTTTGCACGATGGAAGGTGGGGCTAATCAACTCCTGGCGTGCCAAACTTCTATAGGCATAACAATCCTAACAGGTGAACTGGCCGGGAGAAAACTATTACAGCCCCGACGACAGCCTGCCCCAACCGTGGTAGACTGGACACCAGGCAATATGTAGATACGACCACCTAGTAACCTATGCGATTTCAGGACAGCAAAAATTTCTTAATGAGGCAATCTTTGTGATATTGATACATACTGTTTCACATTAGCACATTTGAGCCAGTATTTCATACTTTGGGCTTTTAAAACTACAGAAAAAAAAACCCAAGATGAGTCCTTTATTTTCTGGGAGGTACACTAAAAATCAGCCCAAGGCCCTTCCAGTAACCATTTCCCGTCATAATTTTTGGAATTTTGCTCCATGAGGGTACTATATATATATATATATATATATATATATATATATATATATATATATATATATATATATATATATATATATATATATATATATATACAATGGGAGTGGTGTGGTATGTAGATAAACGACTAGAATATTGGCGTTGAAAAATCGGGTTTCCAAGCCTTAAAAACTGCACTGGATGCCTTTAACAACGTTACTGCCTTACCGGGGGTTGCCGTGGGAACATCCGGGACCTTAGGGAATCCTCTCTCCGCCATGTTGTTCAAAGTCCCAGCAGTTTGGGCCACTTTTAGGTTGACCCCCTCGATCTTTGTTTTCAACCTTTTAAGCCTGTCTGAAGAATTACAGAAAAAGAACCCGTTGGAGTTTCTCCTATATTCTTTCCTTAGCTAAAATACATGTGACGGTATTTATTACACTAACTGTGGTTTAATTGATCTAGAATTCTTTTAAACCGAGGTGCCCTATAGGGGTTATATAAACAGAGCAAGGGGGCAGGCCATATCACAATTCAACAATAGGTAAATATATTAAAGATTGTTTTGCTATAAGAAAAAATACCGAAACGCGTGATTAGCCCCACTCGATTGTAACACTTTATCGAAGACTTCTGCTAGCCCTTGTTGTCTGAATAATCAGTACATGTTACGTTTTATTCTACATTAAGTCAAATTGAACACATTCATTTTATTGTTTTTTTGTTGTTGTTGCTGCTGTTTGTACTTTGCCATACATTGTACCATGTACAACTGTCGTGCAATAAAGTTCTTCTATCATATACACGCGTATATATAGACACAATTAAGGGAGTACCTCTACGTATTTACACTCTAGTTGAGATAACGTTACTTGATTTCCATAAACAAACACATGGGTACCAATACGTTTACTACAAATAGTTGGTCAACATGAATTTGTCTCACTGTTCCTGGCCTGTACTTACAGTGGCCAGGGTTAATTTTGATTGAAAATTACAGCTTATGTTTATCAAGTTCTGATGGTACTGTTCCTGTAAAAATGACCCCGACTCTGCATTTTAGGTGACTGTAGTGAACAACAGGGTAAATGGATTGGTTGTACCTACCTTTCAGGTGATCTGCTTGTTTCACTGTTAGGGCAGAATTTCCCATCCACAACCACAGAACGAAAACCAACAACTTCATTGACACTCGGATACGGTACTCGCCTCCCATTCTTGATGATCTGAGATACTCAAGTTTCCTTCATCTCAAGAAAATTCCTAGAAAGTTACTGCTCGAACCGAGGTCGCGTCGACTGCGTGATGCAAAGCGTTCCCAGGTCTGGCCTAGACACAACAAGTCTACTTTTGAACTTGCTGGTCGGGTCTACGTGCGATTAGCTAAATGCACCCTTGAGAAGCTAATAAAGCCTCACTACATTGAGAACGATAAACTCAATAACATGTGTGTTGTTCGCTGACGTTGCTGTAAGCTGTTAAAATGTTGAAGACTAAGTTAAGCTTTCTGGTTGACATCGTCTGCACAAAACAAGTTATAACAGCTTTAAACGTCATGTTAAACATGATGTTTGAGAAGATCTAATTGTAGAAACCTTTTGACTATTTATCAAAGAGGGCGAGGGTCATTACTTCCGATGGGCGGTTATTTTTTGTATTGCTAGCAACGTTGTGGCTACAGAGAAATTACATTTTAACCATGGGAACTTTTATGTAGTATTTTTGTGTCATGACGACCGTTGCTATGGTGATAGTATTTGCATGGAGACAAACTGACCTGGTATTATACCAAATGCTGTCACCTTTCTTGTTAAGATTTGTCCCTCCCTCCATCCGCTTTATGCAGATCTAGGGGTGAGTGGTTGTCTACTAATCCCGCCTATCAGAGAAACCTAGCATTTAGAAAACGTTACAATCTTCTACCCAGCATCTGCTTGGAGATAAAGTGTCCTCTATTGAACGGGTGGCAGAGGTCTAGTGGCAGGTACCTGTCACATTTAAAGGTACTGCGGTGCCATGTAATACAATGTAAGCACAGGTCATTTACCCTCTAATTTTGCTTAGCCACCAAAAACAAAATATGGTATGTCGAGTTTCTTATTGTTTTGTGAAATCTCTAAACGAATGAAATACAGTTTTTGCTAAGTTAGGCCATGTTGATTTGATTATATGGATGACTTTGATTATATGGATGACATCCGCGCGCGCATGAATTTTCGGCCGTTTCCAAAAAAAAAAGTTTCCAACCACACTGTAAATTGTACAAAACAGTTGCAAAATGAGCAAATATATACCGAAAATTGCAAAAAAAAATATTTCAACGATTCCAACGTCATAGAATGCCAAAATCAAACAATAAACTAAAATACAAAGAAATGAATTTAAAGAGTAGATTATTCACCATACCATACTCTGTGTCATTTGTTCGACCTTCATAACAACGTAGATTTCATGAAAGCAACTTTTTTTTTTGCAAAACTTTTTTTTTTAATTCGCGCGCTCGCATCAGTTTTGGGATTCCCAGAGGATGTCATCCATATAATCAAATCAACATGGCCTTACTCGCCAAAATCATGTAGCGAAGTCACTATATGTAGGTAATCCAAACGTTATAGAGTCCAAGGACTGTGGATCATGGAAGAGTCTAAAGCAAAGGAATGAAAACAGGCTGTCTGTCATTCCCTTCATAATTATCACATCATAAATAGAAATTTATCATAATACTTACAGTCTCTTTTCTAAAGAGGGTCTTCTTCATACCGCCTGTATATTTGACAGGACAGCAGTGGATTCATGTATGAGCGCGGTCACAGTAGTCGAAGTACGAAGTAATATTTTGATGCCGTCAAATTTCTAAGCAGGCTGTGACAGAACTAACATCGGACAAGGATTCATATCAGCCTTTGTTTATTGTTTATTGTCATTTTGCACATAAAAAAGTAACAGTATAAATTGAAATTATATACAAGCAAATATATGCTGGAGAGCCCAAGAAACCTAAAGGTTTGTCTAGTGGACTCTCCCAAATCCTATTAATTTTACGATCTCTTATTTACATACATTTATTACATTTACATTTAACTTGCAATGTATTAAGGGACAAGCAAACAAATTAACTCAAAATAGTTACAAGATAATATAAAGTTAATTAAATTTCTAAACAATAAAGTAAGACAATCAAGAACATATCATATTGAACAAAAAAAATAAATTTCCATTGGTCAAATCATAAGTTATTATGAGTAAGAACAACATAAGAAACCAATATTAACACAAAGAAAATATCATAGCATAAGAAAACAAGGAAAACAAAAGCAAATCAGGAAGTGGTAGATGGCTTCTCTATCAGGTCAGTTTTTAGATGTCTTTTGAAAGTTGGAAGGGATTGACAATTTTGCTGTGAGTGACTTAAACTGTTCCAGATTAAGGGGCCTCTAAACATTATCGTGAACTGTTTCATATTTGATTTTTTCAGGATTGGCCTTAAATCATTTTTGCTTTCTAGTAGTACTGTAACTGTGGATATCTGAGTTGTATTGAAATATGTCCTGGAATTGAACTGGTAATTGTGAACTTTTGTGTAAAACTTTGTGGACAAAAATTGCTGTTTGGAGTTTATTTATGTCATACACTGTTAAAACTTTCAAGTCGTAAAATAGAACCGCAGAGTTAGCAAATAACAAAGCGCTTCTGCAGCTGATGCAGCGGACGGATTGAAGTAGTGTACGTACTAGCCCAGACTATAACTGTCCGTCATAAGAAGACCTTTGCAGTACATATGCACGACTTGCAATCGTACTACGATCGCACGATGGCTGTGACCTGGCTCAAACCTTACAGGTGAAGACAGGTGTGTCCTGAAATAACGTCAACGGAGGAACGTCACGTGGCGACAGTTTGTCACAGCCAGGTAAACACAGGTAAACACAGCGGCAAACAAACTGCGAGCAGCAAAACCTCATCATATACTTCATGTTTATTACTACCATCGTTACATTGCTACAGACACAAAGACGAGCTCGCCAGTGAGCTGTTACTCTGGGCATCAACCCATGGACACTCCAGCGCAGGGCGACCCCATTGTACCTTCAACAGTGTCCAGTTTAATTCCGGAATTCCAGTTTAATTCCGGACTAATTCCCATATCTCAGCAACCTTACGTCTAGATGGGCTAATATTCTAAGATATAAGTAAAAATGATGTAAGAAATATGTAGTGGCACCCAATTCTGTAGAATTCTGGGAACTGCACCCATGCAGAATTCTGGCTCCAGTTCCCAGAATTCTGCAGATTAACCCAATTCCCAGAATTCCCAATTCCCAGAATTCTGCAGAATTGGGTTAATTCCCAAGGGGTCACCGATGGCCACTACATATTTCTTACATCATTTTTACCTATATCTTAGAATATTAGCCCATCTAGACGTAAGGTTGCTGAGATATGGGAATTAGTCCGGAATTAAACTGGAATTCCGGAATTAAACTGGACACTGTTCTTCATCGACCAACTTGCAATTGCTGAAGATGTTGGGGTGATGAGGGCCGAACACCTGGGGCAGTTAATGGCGGACATAGCGGCATAGAGAGAAAGAGTGGACTTGGTCCGGGCAACTCGCCCGACCTGATGATGATGACTATCATCGTAGCTTAGATAGAATACGTGTATTTAATACCTACATGCTCAGTTGCGGGGAGCATCTGTTTCGTACCCCCTGGACATGAAAGCTGCACTGTTACAGGTGAGGAAAGAGGAACATAGCGTGGTGACAGTTTGTCACAGGCAGGTACATGTACTATTAAACACAGCGGCAAACAAAATTTAAAATGCCATCAGCAAAACCCTATCATATATTTAATGTTTAATAGAGTTCTTTATTGCAAGTTCATGTCCGAATTGCAAACAGACACTGACAAGAACAACGAGTACAGAATGTAGTGATTTAAAACTATATGCTAACATGGAGTTCTACGTATACGATCTACTTATTCAACTTACTAGTATCTCTACTTTAAAACTAATATAACGTTGTTTAATACTACCATCATATACGTAGAATATATGTATTACCTACACGCTCAGTTGTGGGGAGGTCCTCCTGGACATGACAACTGCACTGGTCATGAGCAAATCCGTATAGTTACAGGTGAGGAAAGAGGAACGTAGCGTGATGATAGTTTGTCACAGACAGGTATAACTAAAGGGGGCCCGCAAGCCCTTTTCCGTAGAGCGTAATCGGCCGTTTTAATTCTACGTAGAGCGTAGACGGACCGCTCTAATATTTTTGCGTAGAGCGTATTCGGCGTTTCAATTCTACGTAATGTGTTGTAGCCACTTGGAATTTGTCGTAAAGCGTAATCGAGAGGTTTCCGAATTCAGCGTAGAGCGTTGTCGGGACCCCCCCCCCTCC